CTGAGGGTCCCGGTGCCCGCTGTGCCCGCAGGCATCGGGCTGGACTCCTGCGTGGTCCCGCTGAGGCACGGGGGGCTCTCGCTGGTGCAGACCACCGACTTCTTCTACCCCCTCATCGACGACCCCTACATGATGGTACCCCAAAATCACCCAAAATCACCCCAAAATCACCCCCGGGACCCCAAAAACAGCCCCTGCACCCCAGAATCACCCCCGGGGCCCCAAAACCAGCCCAAAGTCACCCCAAAATCACCCCCGGGGCCCCAAAAACAGCCCAAAGTCACCCCAAAATCACCCCCAGGACCCCAAAATCACCCCCAGGAACCCAGAATCACCCCCGAGACCCCAAAATCTCCCCCTGAACTCTAGAATCACCCCTGCGACCCCAAAACCAGCCCAAAGTCACCCCAAAATCACCCCCGGGACCCCATAAATACCCCTGGGACCCCAAAAGTAGCCCAAAGTCTCCCCAATATTAGCCCAAAATCACCCCTGGGAGCCCAAAAATAGCCCAAAGTCACCCCAAAATCAGCCCTGGGACCCCAAAATCACCCCTGGGACCCCATAAATACCCCCAGGACCCCAAAATCACCCCAAAATAACCCCCAGGACCCCAAAATCTCCCCTGGGACCCCATAAATACCCCTGGGACCCCAAAAATAACCCAAAATCACCAGTGAGCACCCCATAAATACCCCCGGGACCCAAAAAATCACCCCTGGGACCCCAAAAATACCTCCTGCACCCCAAAATCCTACCCTGGGCACCCCAAAATCACTCCCTGCACCGCAAAATCACCCCTGGGACCCCAAAAATTTCCCCCTGCTCCCGAAAATCACTCCTTGGACTCCGTTAATACCCCTGGGACCCCAAAATCACCCCTGGGACCCCACAAATACCCCTCTGCACCCCAAAATCCCACCCTGGGCACCCCAAAGTCTACCCTGGGTACCTCAAATCCCACCTGGGGACCCCAAATCCCACCTGGGGACCTCAAATCCCACCTGGGGACCCCAAATCCCACCTGGGGACCCCAAATCCCATCTGGCGACCTCAAATCCCACCTGGGGACCTCAAATCATCCCCTGGGCGCCCCAAATCCCACCTGGGGCCTCCAAACTCCATCCTGGACACCCCAAATCCCACCCTGGACACCCCAAATCTCACTGGACACCCCAAATCCCACCCTGGGCACCCCAAATCTTACCCTGGGCACCCCAAATCCCACCCTGGACACCCCAAATCCCCCCTGGGAACCCCAAATCCCACCCTGGACACCCCAAATCCCACCTGGGAACCCCAAATCTCACCCTGGGCACCCCAAATCTCACCCTGGACACCCCAAATCCCACACTGGACACCCCAAATCCCACCTGGGAACCCCAAATCTCACCCTCCTGCACCCCAAATCTCAGCTTGGACACCCCAAATCCCACCCTGGACACCCCAAATCTCACCTTGGACACCCCAAATCCCACCTGGACACCCCAAATCCCACCTGGGGACCCCAAATCCCATATGGGGACCCCCCAGTCCCACCCTGGGCACCCCAAATCCACTCAGACCCCCCAGTCCTATCCCGGCCCTGCCAAATCCCACTCGGGGACCCCAAATCCCCCCCAAGGGCCCCCAAAATCCCCTTCAGACCCCCCCCAAATCCATCCCAAAGCTCCTAAAATCTGCCTTGGACCCCCCCAAACCCATTTCGGACCCCCCCGAGCCTCATCGGGGTCCCCCAATTCCTGCCCTGGACCCCCCAAAAAAATCCCTGCCCTCGTTTCAGGGCCGCATCGCCTGTGCCAACGTCCTGAGCGACCTGTACGCCATGGGGGTGACAGAGTGTGACAACATGCTGATGCTGCTGAGTGTCAGCCAGCGCATGAGCCACGAGGTGACAGCGACAGGGTGACACGGGGGGGACACGGGGACACGGGGACGTGGGGGTGACACAGGGACACGGGGACGTGGGGGTGACACAGGGACATGGGGACGTGGGGGTGACACAGGGACAGGGGGGTGACACGGGGACAGGGGTGACAGGGGACATGGGGGTGACAGAGTGTGACAACGTGCTGATGCTGCTGAGCGTCAGCCAGCGCATGAGCCACGAGGTGACGGGGACAGAGAAACATGGTGACATGGTGGGGACAACACCCTGAGTGTGACAGTGTCCTGGTGACAGGGACAGGGGACACGGGGGGGAACAGGGACACTCTGGTGGTGTCGGGGACCCCGGGGAGTGTTGGGGACCCTGGGGGGTGTCTGGGACACTGTGGGGGTGACAGGGACACTGGGGGAGGGGTGACAGGGACCCCGGGGGGTGACAGGGACACTCTGGGGGTGACAAGGACACTGTGGGGGTGACAAGGACACTGTGGGGGTGACAGGGACACTGGGGGAGGGGTGACAGGGACCCCGGGGGGTGACAGGGACCCCAGGGGGGTGACAGGGACCCCGGAGGGTGACAGGGACACTCTGGGGGTGTCGGGGACCCCGGGGGGGTGTTGGGGACCCCGGGGGTGACGGCCCCGCTGGTGTCCCCCCAGGAGAGGGACAAGGTGATGCCGCTGATCATCCAGGGGTTCCGGGACGCGGCCGAGGACGGGGGGACATCGGTGACAGGGGGACACACCGTGCTCAACCCCTGGCTGATCGTGGGGGGCGTGGCCACCGCCGTCTGCCAATCAAACGAGTTCATCATGTGAGTGCTGGGCGGGGCCAGGGCTGCCTGTCAATCATTGGGTGATGGGTGTGGCCAGTTATGCCTGTCAATCACTGGGTGGGTGGGGCCATTGCCACCTGCCAATCATTTGGTAGGCGGGGCCATTGCCACATGTTCATCATTTGTGTGGTGGGCGGGGCCACTGTTACCTGTCAATCATTTTTGTGGTGGGTGTGGCCACTGCCACCTGTCAATCATTTGGTGGGAGGGGCCACTGCCACTTGTCAATCATTTGGTTGGAGGGGACATTGCCACCTGTCAATCATTTGGTGGGCGTGGGCCAGTGCCACCTGTCAATCATTTATGTGGTGGGCAGGGCCACTGCCACCTGTCAATCATTGTGTGATGGGCGGGGCCAGTGCCACCTGTCAATCATTGTGTGATGGGCGGGGCCAGTGCCATCTGTCAATCATTGTGTGGTGGGCGGGGCCACTGCTGCTTATCAATCATTTGGTGGGTGGGGCTGGTGCTGCCTGTCAATCATTGTGTGATGGTCGGGGTCACTGCCACCTGTCAATCATTTGTGTTGTGGGCTGGGCCTATGCTACCTGCCAATCATCTGGTGGGCGGGGCCAATGCAAATTGGCAATCATTTGGTGGGTGGGGCCGGTGCTGTCTGTCAATCATTGTGTGGTGGGTGGAGCCAGTGACGCCTGTCAATCATTGTGTGGTGGGCGGGGTCTCTGCAACCTGTCAATCATTTGGTGGGCGGGGCCACTGCCACCTGTCAATCATTTTTGCAATGGCTGGGGCCACTGCTGCCCGTCAATCATTGTGTGATGGGCGGGGTTTGGGACATGGGGGCGGGGTTTGGGGA